ACAGTTTGTATCCTTTTGATTCTGGCTTCTTCTTTGATTTAGGATTCATTGTGCTGGATCGTAATGATGCTGAATCACAATGCATCAGTGATTCATCCACACTGTGACGTCAATCAATAAATTCCTTATCACTGCTGGGTACTATTCCATTGTATGGATATAGCACTTTGTTTAACCATTGACCAGTTGAAGGACATTTGAGTCCTTTCCAGTATTTGGCAATTATGAATACAGTTGCTATAGGTTGTCCTGTAAACAAGCTTTCATTTCTCTTAGGTAAATACCTAGGAGCAGAATTGCTGGGTCACAGCCTAAGTGTGTGTTTAATGTTATAAGAAACTGTTAAAATCTTTTCCACAGTGGCTGTACCATTTTGCATTCCCATCAACAACAGATGAGAGTTCCAGCAGCTCTGCATCCCCAGGGGCTTTGTCATTGTCAGGTGTGTTCTGATTTTGTTTTGCATTCTAATAGGCGTATCTCATAGTTTTAATTTGTAGTAACTAATATAGATGTCGAGCACTTTTCATGTGCTTATTTGCCAACTGTTTACCTTCTTAGGTAAAGCATCTTTAAAAATCTTTTGCCTATTTTTTTAACTGGGTTTTTTGTTTTCTTATTGTTTAATCTCTGGAGTTCTAAATAGAAGCCCCTTGTCAAATTTGATTTGCAAATATTTTCTCAGTTTGTGACTTGTCTTTTTATTTTCTTAACAGTGTCTTTCACAGAGTAACAGTTTTAAATTTTAATGATGTCCAATTTATCAATTTTTTCTTTTAGGGATTGAGGTGTCATATCTAAGAACTGTTACCTAATCCTAGATGATAAATATTTTCTATGTTTTCTTTTTTTTTCTTTTTAAAGATTGGCACCTGAGCTAACAACTGTTGCCAATCTTTTTTTTTTAATTGCTTTTTCTCCCCAAATCCCACTAGTTCATAGTTGTATATTTTAGTTGTGGCATGTGAGATGCCACCTCAACATGGCCTGATGAGCACTGCCATGTCCGCACCCAGGATCCGAACCAGCGAAACCCCGAGCTGCCAAAGCAGAGCACATGAACTTAACCACTCGGCCATGGGGCCGGCCCCTATGTTTTCTTTTGAAGGTTTTATAGTGTTACATTTATGCTATGATATATTTTAAATTAATTTTTGTATAATCTGTGAGGTACAGGTCAAAGTTCATTTTTTTACATATGAATGTCCAATTGTGCTAGCACCATTTGTTAAAAAGACAACCCTCTCTCCACTGAATTACCATTGCATCTTTGTCAAAAATCCATTGACCATATTTGTGTGGGTCTATTTTTGGACTCTATTCTATTCTATCTACCTCTATGCATCTGTCCTTTTGTCAATCCCATGCTGGCTTGATTATTGTAGCTTTACAGTAAGTCTTGAAATCAGGTAATGTGAGTCCTCCAACTTTGTTCTTTTTCAAAATTGTTTCCACTATGCTAGCTCTTTTGCTTTTTCACGTAAAGTTTAGAATCGTCTTGTAAATACTGGGAAAATATTCTCCTGGGATTTTGATTGTTTCATCTTTACTCCTTCTCCTTCTCCCACTAGATTATGTCAAAGCAAGTCATCCCAGATATTATCTATCATCATGTCATGCATAGGGATTTGGCTTCTTCCTAAATAAAAAATCTCTGACATTCCATGGAAATCAAATAAACATCATTGGTCAACATTCTTGCTACAGAATATTGGACTAACTGCATCCCTGCCTGTCCTAGCTGACTTATAAACAGTGCACTCTACCCCACACATACTAACACACCATTCCACAGTTCAGTTTGGGAGAACTGACAGCAACAGAGTCTTCCAATCCATAAACGCGGTCCACTTGGGCGGCTATAATAAAGCTCCACAGACTGGGTGGCTTAGAAATAACAGAAATTTATTTCTCACTGTTCCAGAGACTGGAAGTTTGAGACCAGGGTACCAGCCCAGTAGAGTCTGTTGAGGGTTCTCTCACAGGCTGTAGATTGGCGACTTCTCATCGTGTCCTCATATGGCAGAAAGAGAGCAAGTAGCTCTCTGGCCTCTTCTTCTAAGGGCACTAGTTCCATTCAGGAGGGCTCCACCCTCATGACCTAATCACCTCCCAAAGGCCCCACCTCCAAATACCATCACATGGTGGGGGGTGGGGTTAGGATTTTAACATGAATTTTGTGGGAGAATACAAGCATTCGGTCCATAACACACAGTATATCACTCCATGTATTTAGGTCCTTGTTGATTTCTTTAAACAATTATTAATATTTTTCAGTATATAGATCCTGCATATATTTTGTTAGATAGATACCTAAGTATTTCTTTTTATTGGTGCTATTGTAAATGATACTTTTAAAAATTTCACTTTTTCAATTGTTCATTGCCATTTATACAGAAATACAATTGATTTTTGTATATTGACCTTGTATCTTGCAATCCTGCTAAACTTGCTTAAGAGTTCTAGGTCCTTTTTGGATATTTTTTATAGTCATGTCATCTGCAAAAGAGGTATTTTATTTCTTCCTTCCATCTATATCCCTTTTCTTTCTTTCTCTTGCCTCATAGCACTGGCTGGGTGCTATGCCACCTCTTAGAGTTCCCTGTTCCTTCCAGATATTTTCAAATTTTTCTTTTATCACTGTCAAACACAGTGTACATGGTTGTCATATAGCACGTATTTGAGGCCTTTGTGTCTCTGTTTCTCTTGTTTCTGCTGTGCAACAGTTTGCTGGGTTGTTGTAACAAAGTACCACAGACTGGGTGGCTTACACCACAGAATTGTACTGCCTCAGCTCTGGAGGCCAGCCGTCCGAGATCAAGATGCCGTTGGGATGGTTAGTGCCTTCAAAGGGCTGTGATGGAGAGATCTATTCCCTGCCTCTCCCCTAACTTCCGGTGGTTTGCCGGCAATTTTTGGCTTTCCTTGGCTTGTAGACACCATCATCCTGATCTCTGACTTCATCTTCATATGGTTGTTCTTCCTGTATGTGTGTCTGTGCCCAAATTTCCCCTTTTTATAAGGACATCAGTCACATTAGACCAGAGGCCCACAATACTTTACTATTATCTCCTCTTAACTAATTATATCTGCAATGACCCAATTTCCAAATAAAGTCATATTCCAAGATACCGGGGGTTAGGACCTAAACACATGAATTTTGGAAGGACACAATTTAACACATAACATCTTGGTTCTCATTCATGGTGCCCTGTTGCCTAATACGCCTGGTTATCACCAACTTATATGCCTGGGTACGTTTGTCATAGTACTGAAAACATTATTTTCTGTAATAATTTGAAGTCTAGATAGAAGCCACCTTCCTTTGGAGAAGATGGTTGGCTTCTGCAAGGTACCTGAGGTCACATCCAGTTTAGGACTATTAGCCAAACTCAAGGGATGAGATTCTCTGAATTATTCAAGTGATGCAAACTCAAGCTGCAAATCTTCACGAGTTGATTTACCTCTGGTTCACACTTGCCTAGCCTGTGTTGCTTCTCGGGCTCCCAGCTTATTTTAGGGAGGGTCTGTTGCAGGGATGGCCCACCTTGTGCGGGCCTGTGCTTTGATATCTGACTCTCTCCCTCACCTCCCACCCTGAGAAGACATGAAAATAAAATGCAAGATTTCCAAGATTAGTAAATGATCTGGGGGCAAAAGTAACTTCTATGTTCACTTATCTCTCTGGGTTACTATTTTTCTTTCAATTCTAGTCTCATTATTTCTTACTTTCTAAAATAATTTTTTTCAGAATGTTCTTATAGAGAATTTTAAATTTTAAATGGGAAGGGGTTGGTCTGAATAACTTAGCTAGCCATTATTTGAAAAAAAGAATGCTAAGTTTCTCTGTTTCTTTTTTAAATCATTCTTCACGGTGACCTCTGTAAGTATCCCAAACTAACATTTATTGAGGTTGTTTCAGGCTAGCGAAATATTTCTTCAAACAGTACTTTCTTGTTTAAAATCAGTAATAATTCCGTTTCCCATAACATGAGAAAGTTTGAAATTCCATTTCCTCTTAGGATTAATTTTAAAAACCTTACCTTATATCTGGTTTATTTGGTATCTGTTGAAATGTGACAGAGGAAAAGTAGTTCTAATATGGAACACTAAGAAAAATCTATCCACAATATGTGAAATCTATTGAAATGTGACAAAGGACAAGTAGTTCTAAATGAGAATAATAAGAAAAATCTATCTATAACATATGAAGTAGAGTCTTCAATGAAATTAGCATCTGAAGCTAATGGCTAGCAGCCACAATCTAATCTCATTGGAAGCTGTTCCCCATGAACTGTGACAAAGAAAATCACTACCAGCATTTTGACTTTAAACGAGAGAGAGATGGAGACCTTTGTTACAGAAATAAGTGTGCAGAACCAGCTCATCTAGGGAAAAGGTACACTGTGGGGAGGTCAACGTTTCTTAATGTCTATTTTACAACTCTATCAAGACAGAAATAGCAATAAAGGGCTAACAGTAAACCAATCACATAATTGGGTAACTCTTGGACTGTGTTACGGGATGATGATTCCCGGGCCTGGAATTTAGCTCAGTAGAGAATACAATAAAGGTCTCCTTGAAGGAAAATAAAAGTCATAAAAGAGTGAGCTTAAAGGCTCTCTCTTGAGCTATTTCTCCTGGATGTCCAACCTCCTACTGATGCCTTTGGATGTTCTTGCATGATAAATGATTCCATTGCATCTCTCTTCCTTTGCTTTCAAGTCAAACATGGGGACATGTTTACCTCCAGGAATGAGGAAAATGACTTTAAAAACCCCGGTGTTTGATAAAGAAGCCAAGGAGCACTGCCTCCGAGGCCTCAAACAATCCTGATGTGCTCCCCAGGCACCGTGTGAGTGGCCTGCGGGTGTCTGAGCATCTGGGAACTGAATCCCACCTCTCCATACAGAGAACCCCAAAGACCTGGCCCCATCAGCCCCTCTCCCTGCCCCACGACCCAGCAAGGGCTCTTCCCAGAGGGGAAGCGAGGGCCTTACCTGTGCTGTCCTCCCCAAGGCCTTCAGCAGTCTCCCGAAGCTTAATGTCCATCACCCTCGTGGAAATCATGTCCAGCTCACTAAAATTACATGGAAATTCATGTTAAAAGAACACGTTTAACAGAAGTTAACAATGAACGAGATGGTGGTGGTGACTGCTTTTTGCTCAGGACCTCGCCCGGCAAAGACAGGACAGAGTACAGGACAGTTCGGGCCAAAAACATGTCCACACCTCAAGATTAGTAACACCATGGGCATTTATATAACCACTGACCATAGCAATTTAATGGAAAACGGACAATGGAAACAAATGCTTCCCTAATCGACACAATGCAGATTTGGTTCCTTTCTTTCAAAACAGTTTTTCAGAAATTGTTTTTCTCTTGCTCACTGTAGGAAGTTTGGAAGATATAGAGAATGAAAATCACCCACAACCCCACCAACCAAGGATAACCACAGTTAATGTTTTAAGGTATTTCCTTCCAACATTTTTCTGTGCAAATATTTGTGTGTACACGTACACACACACCATATCAGGAAGACTACCCTCCTGATTTTCTTACTTACATCACATCCTTAAAATTCTTCATAAGTATTATTGTAATAGCTATATAATATTTCAATATAAAGCTGCACCATCATTTATTTTCACTGAATTTCTGTTTTGAACTTTTATTATGAAAAATTTCAAACAGAAACAAAAATACAGAGATTACATAATGAACTTAACATATGGCTACTCTTGTTTCATCTTTACTCCTACTTCTCTCCCACTAGGTTATTCCAAAGTAAATCATCCCAAATACTATTATCATTTCATCTGTACAGGTTTGGCTTCTTCCTAAATAAAAAAATCTCTGACTTTCCATGGAAATCAAATAAGTGATTACCAGTCGATATTCTGTTACAGGATATTGAGCTATCTGTGTCCCTTCCTTCCACAGCTGACTTTTACACAGCACACCGTACCCTACACATACTAACTCACCATTTATTTAGAAAGCTATTTCTTACTGGCAGTTACTACGAATCCTCACACTTAAGAAGGGGGCTCAAATAATTAATTAACCCATTAACATCTACCATTTGTACACCACACATAATGGGAAATGATGAGGAAAATACAAAGAAAATATTTAACAGAGGAAAGGAGTCACGGGTCTGTGCCAGAGTTGGGTCTAATATTTAGGTCTCCTCCAATCCGAATGTCAAAATGCCCATCTCCCTACCAGCCAACTCCTTAAAAGGTGAACAAGACTTCACCAGCTTCGCTTCTCAATTTTCATATAATTTGGCTTCATAAAAATGTCTGATCAACAGAATTAAGGAAAAAACCCACATAATCATCTCAGTTGATGCACAAAGAGCATTTGACAAAATTAAACAAACTTTCATGACAAAAACACTCAAAAAACTAGGAATAGAAGGAAATTACCTCAACATGATAAAGGCCATATGTGAAAAACCCATAGGTAACAACATGCTCAACGGTGAAAAACTGAAAGCTTTTCCTCTAAAATCAGGAACAAGACAAGGAGACAAGGATGCCCACTCTCACCACATTTAACACAGTATTGAGAGTTCTAGCCAGAGCAATTAGGCAAGAAAAAGAAATAAAAGGCATCAAAATTGAAAATGAAGAAGTAAAATTATCTCTATTTGCAGACGACATGATCTTATATGTGGAAAATCCTAAAGATCTCCCCAAAACTATTAGAACAAATCAGTTTTAATAAATTTTCATAAATAAATGAACACACAAAAATCAGTTTTGTTTCTATACACTAACAATGAACAATCCAAAAAGGAAATTAAGAAAACAATTCCATTTACAATAGCATAAAAAGGAATAAAATACTTACGAATAAACTTAACCAAGGAGACAAAAGACTTGTACACTGAAAACTAGAAAATGCTGCTGAAAGAAATTAAAGAGGATACAAAGAAATGAGAAGACTTCTCATGTTCATAGATTGAAAGGCTTACTGTTAGAATGTCCATACTACCCAAAGCAACCTACAGATTCAACGCCATCCCTAGCAAAATCCATGATCCCATACTGTCCCGCTGCTCGATGATACTATGGGGGGAAGGACAGCTCCCAGAGCACTGAAGGAAGAGGCAGTGGAGAAGGAAAATACAAGGAGCAAGGAGAGTGAAAATGGTGAGGGCTGGTTAAGAGTCACCAACTATCACTCGGGTACCATCCCTACTGTTGCCAATGAGCTAGAAAGTACAAGTGCAGGAACTTTCTATTGTTTGAATTTGGTGTTCACCTCAACAAGTACAATTACTTATCAAGCACGTAGCACATCATCTGAATTATCTCACTTAATCCCCACGAACTTTTAGTATTCCCATTTTGGAACTGAGAAACCTATATTATATTACGCAAGTTTATTAACTGCCCCAAAGTAGCAGAGCAGAAATACCCGCCTATATACTCACGCTGACTGCACACCCAACTTGGGCAGGCACTTTTGAGGGCTAGGGGTGATGGTGAGACCGACATGGCCCCCGCCTCTTGCAGGTGTTGACCCAGGGAAGGGGAGAGTCCTGAGTGGTCCCCAGAGAGGCTCAAGGGAAGAAGCTGGGGAACCCAAAGGACACAGTCTCCCACTGAAATGGCTCTGCCTGCCAAGCAGCCCTGTCCAGCATCAGGCCAGGGCCCAGAGGCTGACGGAGCCCCAGGAGACCATCCATTGGGTCTGACAGAGTATGTGAGTCTGAGGGAAGGAGTTTGAGGCTGCCATGATACATCTACTAACATTGGAGAAACCATGACGTTACCTTCAAAGTGTCCAGTCACCTCTGCACATTTTAATAAAACATTCCTTGGTGGGAAGTGCTGGCAGTTTGCAGGTGTGTGTGTGGGAGTGTGTGCACAAGCCCTGGGGGTGGCTGTGAGAGGTGCCCTGTCCCACTGAGCCTGGAGGACATCTAGAAGCTCAGACTTGCTTCTTCCTGGGTTGAATGATATGACTGCAATAAAGCTACCCCGGGCAGAGGGTTCAGGAGTGGGCAGGAGGCCTGAGAGGATGGCCCAGCCCTCGCCTCGCCATCAGGTACATCCTGGGCCTGATGCAGAGAGCACCACCAGATGCCAAGGCTGTAACGGACTCAGGCACGGAGGCAAAGGTCACCCCACAGATGAAGGGACGACAAACGAGGCCCACCTCATGTGGTAGGTTTAAAACTGCTCATGGTTAATGTTCCAAACATCTTCATACTAAAGACGTAAAATGGTACAGAGAAAAGGGCACAGACTTGGAAGTCAGGTAATGCTGGAGTTGAATCCTCACCCCATCACTTATCAGTGCTGGGCCTCAGTCTCCTCAGTTACAAAATGGGGATAACGAGGCTCAAACTATACGGACCGAGAACAGGGCACATACGAGCACTCGCTGAGAACAGCTGTCGGTCACCATAGCTTGTTCCTCACTGCGTGCTCACGTCTCTCCACAAACAGTCATGAACACACAGCTAGCGTGTCCTGGCAGCAGGCGGGGGTCCATTCTCTCATGAAGATGCAGGCTCCCTGTGTACATGGCTCACTTTAGAGCCACATCACAAAAGATCAAGACGTCTGGATTCCCAGCTGACCACTGAGCTTCCTGGCAGCCTGATGGCTCTTGTGCAGAAGTGAATCAACCTGCTGCCGGGGAGCTAATAAAGACACATTCCAGGCCGCAGAGGAAGGTCTGCCCTGTGCAAACACAGAGTGTGCAGAGGGAGGGCCGTCCCCTTCATCCGGACATCCCAGGCAGAAACTCTCCACCGCTGTCACAATGGAAAGTCTTCTCTGTTGGGCCCAGTAACTGGCCCTTCTGAACACAAGTTTCCCCACCTCCAGTAAAATTCAAGGAAAAGCCAGAAGGAAAACCATAATTAGACAGGCATGTGGCGAATGCCCCAGATCTCCCAGCACCACTTTGCTTCTCACTGGAACTCAAAGTTCAAGTCAGGCCACCCAACATTCCCTCACCCAGCTTCTGCCCTCTACCCTCCCGCCCCTGTCCCTCTGACAGCTCAAGTCCAAGTCAAGGAAAACTCATTATTTGCCTCTGGAACTAAGGGGGCCTCTTCAGGGGTTCTAATTAACTCAAAAGGGTGCTGAGCCTCCAGCCCCCACTGCAGTCCACAGCACTCATCAGTGTGTATCTGGCTCCTGCAGAATCCCGGAGAGTCCTGCATCCAAAGAAGGCTCCCTGGGGGGCTGTCCCGCTTCCACTCTGGATGCTAACTGTAACCACAGCCTCCTTCCCAGCTGACAGCAGAACGCCATCATCAGCTGCAGGTCACACTGAAAAATTCTACAAAAGTTTATTTATGTAAAGAACGAGAATAGATTTTAATATGATTTTTAAAGGTTCTAATCCATGATATTTACCGACACAATGCAGAGGAAAATATCTGTAACATACCTCCAAGCACGTAATTATGTTTGTCACTACAGACCCGCTAATTCCACACCACCCTCCTGGCCGTGTTCAGATCCTGTGGCATTCTTTCTCAGCCCCTGTCTTAGCCACCTATCTTCACCACGCTCACCAGTGTTGTCAACAGTGTCTGCCTAACGTTCCCCTCCCGTCTAAGACTGTGAGCCTAGTCGGGGGAGCTCTGTGCCTGTCACACCCACTGCTCTCTTCCCAGTGCCTGGAGCAGGGAACTGAACACAACACACGAGCCACACAGTTGACAAAACTAGAGGGGCTTCTGGAGATGCTCGATACAGGTACAAATAGAAGAAAAAGCAGCAGTAAGGTCACCGGGCTCCAGATACGGATCAATTTAAGACACAGCGGCCGGCCCGTGGCCGAGTGGTTGAGTTCGCAGGCTCTGCTTCAGCGGCCCAGGGCTTCGCTGGTTCGGATGCTGAGTGCAGACCCAGCACTGCTCATCGGGCCGTGCTGAGGCAGCGTCCCACACAGCACAACCAGAAGGACCTACAACTAGAATATACAACTATGTCCTGGGGGGCTTTGGGGAGAAGAAGGAAGAAAAAAAAAAAGAAGATTGGCAACAGATGTTAGCTCAGGTGCCAGTCTTTTAAAAAAAAAAAAAACCTGAGGAAATCCTC